AAAACAGTCGGGGAAGGATCTAGAGAGTCATCGCTGCTGTCACCTTGTGCAATTTTTGAGAGGGGATTTCGTACCTTCCTCCACGACAATGGCGTGGAAGAAGGGGACACCATTGTATTAAAAAAATAGTCGACGTCGACATGTTTGAAGTTGTTTTTTTTAGATGACAAAGAAAGTGAAAAATGTGTTCCCTTTTGTGATATTAGAACTTCGTTAAGTTCAAGGTTTTAGGACTTAGCTTTTTTTAATATGTAACATAATTAAAATTAATAATAATAATAATAGTTCCGAAACCCTCCTCCCGAAAATCGCCGACATCGTCTTCTCCCAAAATCACCTTCAGTCTGCCTTCCTCAGCTAAATCGGGGCTCGGCCAGTGGTCGACCTCGGCTGCTCATCCCTCTCTCTGAATTTGCGCGCCTCTTGAGGTTCTCTGTGATGGTAGAAGCTAGCTGCGGCTCGGTCGGCCTTTCCTTCTCCGGGTGAGGCCTCGCGGATTCAGGTCATCGGCTTTTCTGCACTGCACCGACGTTGGGTGGAGTACGAGTTAGGGGGTGGCACGAGACTCCGGTGGTTCGTGGCGCTTTGCGTCGGGGCGGTTGGAGTAGAGGGGTTGATATGCTCTTCTCTCCTCGGTTCTCTTATGTGGGGTCCGGTGGAGCCAGCACGTCAGTACTCGGGTAGTCGTTTTAGCAGGGTGGGGCTGTGCTGGTATTGGCTAGTGGTGTTAGCCTGGTGAGGGGTGTTTTGGTTACTCCGACTGGGGCGAATCGTTTCTTGGATTGATTCTAGGCTTGGTTTCGCCTTCAGCTAGGCAGTTAGGCAAATTCAGTTGCGGTTTCTGGGCCTTTGGATCTCTCCCTGGATCCGATTGTTCATCCACTGGTTCGACTCGATCTTTCTACTGTGGAAGAGCTTTGTTTGTTAGTTGTTTTAGATTCTTTGTTTTAGTTTGTTATTATGTTGTTTGTGCTTGTGTTGCTTATGAATCGTGTTTTTGGTTTGGGCCGTTTGCCTCTGTGAGCCAGAGTGGGAGCGGGCATTATCCTGTTGGGATCCGCTCCTGTCTCTATTCTCCTCTTGGGAGTTTTTTAGTTTTTCTTAGTGTTTGTCGTGTTTGTTGTGTAGTGAGCTTTGTTTTTGGATTCTAGCGTTGCTAGTATCGGGATTCTAGGCGGTCATTAGACCTGTCCTGCCAGTTATTCGGCTTTTGGTTGCATTATTCAACTATGGGTTGTATCTTTGCACATTTATACGTTTTGTTATATAATATTCTCTGTTGTTCCGAGAAAAAAAAAACTAAAATTATTAAATATATCATGAAATATAAATTTTTTATTGTCAACATCAGTCTTTTTATTTATTTTATGACAATTGTGTCTTAAATATATTAGTTTACTCACACAACATGATTTTTTTCAAAAATTATTATGCGTTTTTTATTCGCATAAATGTCGTAGGTTCTTATTTATCGTCTGTATGTTGTATAATTTATCGCAAAATATGTCTGCACTTGTTCAATTATCTTTGTATGCTAATGATGTCATTCTTACTCAATTATCTTCGTTTTTATTTCTTTTTATTAAATAATAACCATGTGAGTAATAAGCTTAGATTACGAATTTACCAAATATGTAATTCCAAATAAATTAATCTGTGTAATTATGCGTATAAAAGAAATAGCTATTTAGATTACAGTTTGACGCATTTTAATAAAGAAATAAATATCTGATTCAATATTTGTATCTCTTTGGTAGTCTGCCGTAGCGTACACAAAATGTTTTCACTATTTTTTATATTTTTGTATTAAATAATAACTATGCGAAACATATACGCTTGAAAAGATATCAAGTAATAATCGCATAGTACGATTTTATAAAAAATAAATTTCAAATAAATTAATGTGTAGTTGTGCGTATAAAAATTCGCCTAATAATTGCATAAACAAATAAACAAATAAAAGAAATTGTTTAAGATAAACTGATCTGAGAATAAAATGCGATATACCCGCGATTGACTGAATTGCTCATCAGATCTCTGCATATATACGTCACTTATGTCACATAGTTTATCGTATAATATTACATATTTGCTCAATTATCTTCTCCTTTCGGTCGCATAGTTTGTCGCATATTATTTCTCACTTACTCAATTAACTTTGTCTGGTTGTCGCATAGTTCATCGCATATTTTTTTCAAACTTTCTTATTAATTTGCATTTTTGTTGCATAGTTTATCGCATATGTATTTTGCACTATGCTCGATTATCTTTTCATGTCTGTCGCCCTCAAACTCGCATAAATAATTCGCACTTGTCTAGTTATCCCTGTCTGTCTGTCGCATAGATTATCGCATAAATAATTCTCACTTGTATAATAATCTTCGCATGTTTGTAGCATGGTTTATCGCATAATTTTGTTTCGCACTTTATCATTTATCTTCGCTTTTATGTCGCATAGTTTATCGCATAAGATGTTTCTCACTTTATCAATTAACTTCGCCTTTCTCTCACCTAGGTTATCGCATACGACTTTTCGCACTTTATCAACTATCTTCACATTTATGTCCAATGGTTTATCGCATCGTTTGTTTTGCCTTTTATCATTTATCTTCGTCTTTCTATCGCATAATATGTTTCACATGTTATCAATTATTTTCGTCTTTATGTCGCATAGTTCATCGCAGAAGACTTTTGCACTTTATAAATTATTTTTGCATATCTGTCACATAGTTTATCGCATAAATATTTTAAAATTTATCAGTTATCTTTGCATGTCAATCGCATATTGTATTTTGATCTTTATCAAATATCATCATCTTTTTGTCTCATAGTTTATCACATAATTGTTTTCACATTTTATCAATATCTTCGCCTTGTTGTCGCATAGATAATCGCATAAGCTTTTTTGCACTTTATCAATTATTTTCGCATGTCTGGCGCATAAATAATTTGTACCTTATCATTTATTTTCATTTGTATGTCGCATAGCTTATCATATATATTTCGAACTATATCAGTTGTGTTTCATCTATCTGTCGCATAGATTATCGCATAATTTGTTTTGCACTTTATCAATTATTTTTGCATGTTTGTTGCATAGTTTATCACATTATAATTTTTTGCACTTTATAAGTTATTTTCGTATATCTGTCATATAACTTATCATATAATTTGTTTTACACTTAGTGGGGTAAAAAAGTAAAGTAATTAATTGGCGGTGTAGAAAACTTAGCACGTCATTAAAACGAGGCAAAAATAGTTATTTCCTCGAAACCCATTTTGTATTCCATTCGTATTTTTTTATCGAAATGGCAATTATATTAATAACTAGAAATCTTAATAGAGTACAAGTGAGGTGTCAAGTGGCACCAAAGGAACGAGAAAACCTGGACTTGCCCACTTGGAATAACACAGTGTCCAAAGGGGTACAACCTCCATCAAGGACACAAAAACCAACGCAAAAACACAACTCCATAAATGAGACTAAAACTCCATGAAGGAGATTGGACGCCAGACGTTGTTGGACTTAACGAAACGAAATAAAATAAAGAAGACAAAAACCAACACACACCTAATACAAGACGAATAAAACTATCCTAGTCCTAATAAATGAACCACACGACCACATAAGTTGACAACCAAGTCACACACCACAGCTAAGATACCCAACAAAGCAACATGACAAGACTCCAAACCTAAACATTGCGGCCGCTCAAATCGCTTAGTCAGATTTTCGAACCACATCTGAACTCCATTGGACGTCGGTGCCGAGGAAAAAAAGGGCGAGCTGCCAAAGACACTGGAGGGCTTGAGACTAGGCTACAAGGCGGCAGTGCCCAAGGCTGCTCGCTGTCTTGCAGCTCGGCGGACCAGCGGCCTGGCAGAAAAGGGCACGGCGGCTCGATCGAGCAGCCAAGTTCCAATAAGCAGAAAAGAGGCACACAATCCAGAACCTTACAGAGCGGCGAACTCCCACAGTTGGGGTTGGCCAAGACGACCGGTGATCCTCACGGAGCTGGGAAGATACACTATGCGGCGAGATCTACCGACGGCCATGACATCCACAAAGCTCTAGGAGAGACGTAAAAGAGGGCCCCAGCCGTGACTCATCCCACGCCAGCCTGGTGGGCGCAGAGGACAACCCGCCAAAAGAGAGGGGGTGGCAAAAATTAGACGAGGGCCTTGTTCGTGGATTTGGGGGTTTTTTTTTCTGTTTTTCAAAGAGAGTTTATTCTTTTTCAAGGTGAATCCGTTCCGTTGCAGTTTGGATGGAGGAACTTTACGCGTATGTATTTCAATTTGGGTACAACTGGAGTTGATCTAAATTATAAAAATAACAATGCTAGGTGTATTTTTTCTACAGAAATCCAACGCTGGTTAACAATTGTTGACGTACAAATCATCAAACCAACAATCTGAATCAATTCCAAGTATATGAATAAACACTCAGGCAGCCTTTACGTGTGCTACCAACCAGATTACTTCTTGGACTGGAAAATTACTTACCCTTGAAATTGTTTACGTCTTGGTCAAAGTCATGTAATGTGTCCCTCAATGTTTTTTAGTCAATTATTATAGAAAATCGCAAGATTTATTAAAAGTCATGCAAAATACACACATTCAAATGGGCTGTTCAATCGATCACCCGACTCAACTGAAACCCAACCGTAACGCGGGTCATAATATTAACATTAAAAGAAGAGAAGCAGCAAGAAATGAGTAACAAAAACAATCTTTCAAGAAAAGAAATGGTTAATCAGATATTCGGATGAAGTACATAAATTGATAGCAATGCGAAAAACTTTTAGTTAAATAATTATTGAGGATTAATTATGTTTCAGGTACATATACCCTTAAAACTGTAAATCCCTGAACAACAAAACTGATATGAGTATGTAACTTTGAGGTCTGAACTGGCTCTAGTCTGTATCAGCTGTAGTATAGACCAAGAAAGAACTTGTCCTCATATAACCAGAAATCAAAGCCTTTCCTAGAGAGGTGGGTTGAGAAAATGCTACCTCCATGTGGTTGAGAATCGAGCCTTTGCAGAAACTCTTCCTGTAAAGAGGGTGCAGCAGATAAATTCATAGTTGTCAATAATCAAGGAAAACAGAAACAACATGCAGTTTCAAGTGAAAGAAAGCCCTTCAATCCAAGAACATGTAAAAACAGTAATCTTATATGACTTGTTTTCACAATGGAACTTTCAGAAGAGAATTTTCCCCTTTCCTTGAAATAAGCTATTACAAACCACCCCCAATGTTTAGATTAATGTCAGGAAAGGGCTTATTTCAAACCACCCCCAATGTTTAGATTAATGTCAGGAAAAATCCACATTATCTTTCAAGAACTGAACTTCAGCATCATCATTTTTCTGTTTAGCAAGAAATCCATACCTGAAAGATGTTATTCTAACATGTTTAAAGAGACAAAATACTCGAGGGCAATTCAAATTTTCTGATTTTGCATACCTATACATATACTTTTTAGTCATTGGCACAAACAGATACTTATTAGAAGCCACACAATGAACTTTACCGTGCGGCGTCAAGTAGGTTACTGGCTATGTGCTTCCTCCTGTTACAGGGAGTGACCCAAATGGCTCTAATGCCACAAATGGCAGGCACGGCCTCATCCTCGCGTAATATCATGCCGTTAAAGCTTCCTTCTTCTGGACTTCTTTCAATAGAATCTCTTTTTACGATTTCCCTCTGAAGATTAACACTGCCAAATTGAAGAGCGGTTGAACTTTTCCTTTCTGTCTTTGCAGACGCATTCCTGTCTTCACCCTTTGAAGTGGAGACAATCCTGTAGGCCTTTTTTATTGGCTCAGTTACTAGGCACCCGGCTATCCGTTGTGAAGAAATGAATAAATATACCTGCTATCGTGTGATATGCATGTAAGTTTATCTAAAATATGAGGCTCCTACCTACTTAAGATTAATAAACTTTTGATATTGGGCTTTAGAAACAAACTACCCTGAGACCTGGGATTTAGCAAGAAAAAAACTTGGCTGTCATTCGAAGTCACTAATATCACTTGAAAGTGCAACAGTCTAAAACACACACATGGACCTTGAGCTCCCATGAGGATGCAACTTGTAAAAGGAGAACAAATGTCACGAACACACACACATGCAGTTCTGAAAGAAACTGTGTTGCATGTAACTAGACTAACCACAGGGTAGTTTTTGTAATCGACCTGAACTATCTGACAACAGACTAATATTTGCAATAGAATTCTGAAAGGAAACAAAATACCAATTTTCCTAGAATATGATAGAGAAATGTTTTAAGCATGATAAAACTTTGAGTACCTTACAGTGCTTATCCATTATCCACCCTTCCCCAAGCTCCATTTCCATCATTTGCACAACCTCCTGAACCTGCAATATTTGCTAGATGTCCCATTAATAACACTCCAAACTAGAGTAACTGAACCAAATTTGACTGCCAAAGCAACAATTTCTTTACTATTCATTACCTTATTTTGCTGAGAGGGAGGATCACCTTCTTGCACTAAAATAATGCGTCCCTTCTCAGGCGCATATATAATCCTCTCACTACGCCAGCCCTGAGAATTGAATGATTATACAATTTACAAAATCAGAGCAAGCCCCCGAAGTATAAAACAGGAAGCACTTAAAACTGCTCCAGTACCTTAAAGGGCACCCCATGAGTGTAATTCTTGTGAAATCTCTTGTGAGCTTTTTCATCACCTTCAACCCCTGGAGCATACTTGTAGCCGCATGTTGTACATGTACGCCAGAGAAAATTAGATTGACCGACCTCCAGATGCAATTGTGCATAATTTCTCTTCTTATTTAGATTTTGGCTACACTTAGCATGCTCCCATTTGACTAGTTTGTCCTCACAATCACTTTTCTCCAATGCTTGGCTACACAATCCACTTTCGACCTCACTAGAATAGAAGCAAAACCAACTTTCAACATCAAGGAAAATCTACCCAGCGGATGAAAAATTACTGGTTTGCAGCGCAGTCCTAGTTTATGCATATAATCTCCATACATGCCAAGAGCTACAAATTGAGAGCAAATAATCACCAACCCATAATTTCTTTTTTTCATAAAAATGCACATTAAACACGATTGACGAACATAAGAAAGTGTCAAACGAGCAAGATTCCAGCGAGCATACAACATCAATTTCTACTCAAATACAGTATTGCGCTGAAAAAAAAAAAAAAAAAAAAAATCGTGTTATGCTAACAGGATAGATAAGGCGATGATGAATTAATGCATCTCAAGCTCATCCAATTGAAGAATTGAACGATATATGAGTACATACCCTAGCTGCTCAGCCTTTTGGCGCTTGTAGGTGACGGTGATTTCCGGCACCGGCGATGAGTCTTGAGGAAGTGCGGCCCACAAATCGCGGGAAGATGGAGAAGGAAATGGCTTGAAGAAGGTATTGATCTTCGGCTGCATCGGCTTTGGATTCTGACTCCGATCAGCTTGTGTTAGTCGATGATTAATTTGGGAAAATGGTAGCAGCGAAAGATGTGAATATTTTTTGGTTTGGCGCTATGATATAAATTAGGCTTTGTTCAAAAATCCCGCGGTTGCTTCGTTTGATTCATTTCAGAATTTAGGGTATATATGGTCGGTCCTCACACAGTTTTAAGTCTAATTTAAAACTCGTTGACAATCATACTTGATTTCGATTTTGCATATAATGATGCATCAAATGGATCATATTTTAATAGACCAATGGGCTTGTTATGAAATTTCATGGTTGTTCAAGAAGCAATAGTAAACATGGTCATTAAAGTTTTATATCCACCAAGAAGTATGATGAAAGCATCACTATGGTTCACCATAAACATAGTGCAATCATAAATTGAGTTAGAAAACATCAGATTGGTAGAATCTTTGACAATTTTTTGGGGAGCTCTGTGAAAAGGTAGAACACTTTTCACTTCGATATCAAAGCATTTACCAGCCATGAACAGAGTATCAAAGAAAGTGAGGCTAGTTCCTCCATACAGTAAATTGATTTTTTTATTTTCCTAATTCTCTTACTAGCTGGGATACAATATCAATATTTTGAGAAGAAGCTACAAATTTAGGATCCCAAGAACACATATGGTTTTTATAGGTTGAAGAACCTTAGTAACTTGAGAAGACTCAGAAACCTCCATTTGGTGTGGAGAGATCATAATGAATGATCGATGTATTTAAAGAGAAAGTTTATGAAGAGATGATTATTATATTGTTGCACTCTGACAGAAGCAACAGACAAGTAAGAAGTTAAACTTTAAATGCGCGTTATCTATCAGAAGGGATAAGATATTCAATATCTTATTATAAATAGGGTTAACAGAGACAGTTGTTGCAAACAGGATCCTTAGCAACAACATTTTCGAGACTATAGCGGTTTTGTTCATTTTTGAAACAGAACCATAAAGACATAAGTTCTCGATGCACATATCCACTAGGATGTGTCTCAAGAATCTGTTGGAGTGTTTGATCCATGGATTCTTTACTCAATCCATCCTTGATGAAAGCTATTTTATCTTCTCGATTTTTGGACACAAATCCCACCGATTTGCATCGGGTGTCGCAGCTCCATCGAACACATTTGAAGCATCCACCTATTCTTTTCGCTCTACGTTTTTTTGAAAGAGTACTTCTACCCATACCTGGCAGATATTTATATGAATTTGGGAATTCTCCAAATAGTCGGACTTTTGCTTCAATCAACCATCGAATATCATTGGGGATATTATGGAGCATTAGCACTCTTTCCACTCGAGCTCGATAAATTTTTCTTATGATATTAAGTGGAAGAAAGGAATAAAATGTGTGAATATTTGAAAGAGCTAGATCCATTTGTTATTTCGTACCATTTCTGGAGAAAATTTAAGGATTAGCGAGTCTGTTTATAGAAGAACAATGCATATGAGGTAAGTTTCTAGTGATAGAGTTTAGCATTAAAGTATATCGAAATCAGAGAACGCAACTGGTATGCATTTAATGCAGCCGAAACTAGATGTGAAATGTCGACAATATTTATAGTATGGATTATTGCAATGTTACCGATTTTAAGTTGTGTCGGTTTTACTTATATGGGTGAAACTGTGGTATGATCAGTATGGGTAAATTATTTCACAACAGTGCAGTAATTTCAACTCAGTTCTCTAAGAAATATTGGATATTTAAGTTTTGATATGTATACAATTAGTATGCATCTTTAGTTTGGCATTTCCGAGAACGGAATTGTAATGCCCCGTTGAATTGTGCATACTTTTGGATTATTGTTATTATTATTATTA